ATTTTTAAAAACCGCACACCCCTGGTGCGTTTATAAGTAAACCGCACGCCCAAGGTGTGGTTTAACATTCTGGGCCATCACCGCATCTTGGTCATGCGGTTCTGGGCCTGACCTAGCAAAACCGCATGGCCAAGGTGCGGTCACTACAAGAAATTAGGTATTTTGTGACGCACCCAATTTGTCATTTTAGTGTGCCATTTTGTCACTTTTTGTCTAAAGTGACAAGTGTTATGACAAACAGGCTTTGTCAGCTTCGCTCCGTCGTATTAGGTCGAATGTGACAAATTTTAATTTTTCGATTATCATAATATTTTTCGGACAACTTGACAATATATCATTGTCATAATATGTTGTCCTACCATGACGAAAGATCTTGTCACATTAGACTGTTTATTTTGTCACACTTTAATACAACCAACTGACTAAACGAGATATTATTAGGGAACTGTTTGTCATTCTCATTCGTCACTTTAAGCTGTAGGGCACGTGCCCTTAGAAATCACATATGATAAACTAATTTTGTCATATTTTTTGTATTCAGTGACGGTCCAGTTTATCATAATAAGGATCTTCTCTGTCGTAATACCATTTTCTGACAATATATACGTCAGGATACTGAATTATTTGTCATATTTTAAACCTAATATGATAATGGAACATTGTCATAATTTGTTCGTTCCTGTAAGTAGTAATTGTGACAAGCGAAATACACATACAACTTGTCATAAAACAAGCCGACAGTCACATTCACACACTCCTACATTCTGTTTGATGCAACCATATTGTCCAGAATGGGTTTGCAGCCGACAACTATTTATAAAGATATCCGTTCAGGAAAACATTCTCTAAGGACGACCTCCTCAAGTCATATGAACACACAGTCGTGCATGGAAGCGTCCACACCTGCACTTGAAATTTGAGAAGAAGCTAGATTGAGACTTCACATTCGTGCATAATTGTTCCTAACAACTTTACTAAGTTCTATAGATCAAATTCGTGCATTGAATAATAGCTATGTACGTGATGCAATCATTTCCTGCCGAGTTTGGCGAGGACGGATTCCAAACTCTTTTGCATCTTCTTGTTCCTGGCGCACTTCTTCCATATTTTCCCCTTGGTTAGCCAAACGCTCATGTTGCAGATCAATCTCTTCTTTATGTTTTTCAACAAGAAAGGAAGAAGGGCACATACCAATTGCAGCAATAAAGGAAGAAGACCAATCTGTTTTCATGACAGAACATATGAATTGGGGTTTTCTGAAAAACATCCACAGTTTTCAAACAACCACCATCCCCATCAAAAACCACTTTTCAAAAATGTCGCCTTCATCCAAATCCATTGCATCAAATTAACTCATCTCGCGTACCAGCTACAAAAATTTCCTAAGAGCTATCTATGTAAGCCAATCCATACACTGGGCTTACACAAAATCGACGGCCAAACTTACTCGAATTATCGACGGAGGGAACTCGCGGCAGGGAAGGCAGGCCGTCGAAGCAGAGCTGCGATCTTCTAATCGGAGACTGTTGATTCAGAGGGAAATCCCTACCCCTGTGCAAGAGCGCCTATGAACGACAGAGATTGAAGAAGAAACATGAGGAACCCAACCCTGTTTTTATCGGAATCAGGTATCCACCATGCAAATCAAAACCAAAATCGCAGAGGACAAGGAGTCCAGGGCAAGGAGAAGAACGAGACTTACGGAACAATCGATGCGCGGGGAGGAGAACGTAGCCAGACGAATCGCTGAAGAGGATGTGGGGAGAGGGGTTTGGACTTTTCAATTCGCGGTGGAGATGGAATTGGGGTTTCTGTTATTGGCGCTGAAGGGTTAGAGAGGATTGGGAGTTTTTTTCGTCTTGGAGGGAAGGGGAATAATAGTCCTGCCGAATGGACTTGTGGACGAAAAATAGAAATTCTTAAAAAATGTAAAGAAAAAAGTTTATTTCATTCTTCACGCCATATTATGACAAACTCTATTGTCATATCAGAGGATTTTTTTAACATAATGTGACAAACCATAAGGTGACGGTGTGTTTTGTCATTCTGTAGCCGTATTTGCGCGGTAAATAAGACATATAGTGACAAAATTATAATGACAACAAAAAATTTGCCACAATATAACTTTATTATGACAACTGTAAATGACAACTATAACTTTTGTCGCATATAGTCAATTAAACGTGACAAGTCCGTTTTTTGTCATAGTTGGTTGCCTAATATGACAAATACTTTATGACCAAAAAAAAATTGTCATTTAAGGTCAAATTTCTTGTATGGGTTCTTGGGCTGACCTAGCAAAACCGCACTTTGGGGATGCGGTTTTGTTTCTCCAAAACAAACCGCACCCCCAAAGTGCGGTTTTGCCCACACAAATCGCACCCCCCCCCCCCCCCCCCCCACATGCGGTTTGTGTGTCGTAATTATTTTCCGACATCAAACATGTTGCCATGCAGGTGGACAGACGTGGGGCTGCATGGCAGATGAAAACCGCACCCTCCCCATGCTGTTTTCATTGATGATTTTGCCTATAAAAACAGCCTGGGAAACGACCTCTTCTCTTCACACTTCTCCTTCTCCCTTTTCAATTTTCTATTGTAGCTCCCTACTTCTTTAGTGTTTTTGCGGTTAATGTTAACTCGTAAGTTTATTTTGTATTACTTTTTATTGTGATTTGTGATTTTTATGATATTAACTTAACTACGTGTTTTTTTTTTTTTTTTGCAGATGGCATTCCAAAAGTTCACGCTTGGGTTACGGTGGAATGGTTACACGGAAGAGACCAGAAAGGGGGTCACCTACGTCAGTGGCAATTTTCATAAAATAAAGGTCGCTACTAGACCGATGCTTGAAGACCTCTATCAAATGTGTACTAATGTTACTTGCATGGATGGCACGAGAAGAGTTGATCGTATGGTGTACCGATATCCAAACAGAGAAGGCGGGTCGTTGTGGCACGAGGAATATCTCATAACCACTCAGGATGAAGTAGAAGCACTCTCCTTCGCGAAAGTTGAAACAATGTGTCTCCTTTCTCCATCTCTCCACCAATGCGGTGATGAGTTGGCGATCGACTTTTATGCCTACAAAATGCCTAATCGACTCCGATCGTGCCCTTTTGAGAAAGGGCAAGATAATTGGGTTCCATGGGAGCACATTGGTCGTACCCCTGTAGCAGAGTATTTGTTGTGCCTCCTAGCAAACATTTCCACGTTATTTATGATATATTAGTAAAAATTTAGTCTTATAACTAAATTAATTAAAATTAATTATTTAATTTTGGTCATAATTTTATTATAATAATATTATTAACAATCAAATTTAAGTAATTGATGGTTTTTTTCCAATATATATACATATTATAATAAAACAAACATACTCAATTAATTGACATAAATAACATTCTTAATGAATAATAATTTAAAGAGATACATACATATTCAAACATTTGAAATTAATAAAATCCATTTAAGTACACATAAACATAAATCGTATTGGTTGTTTGGTAAATAATTTAATAGTATTGGTTGTTTTAAATAATTTAATCGAATACAATGCAACACTCGTTAGACTCTTAGAAGAGGTATACATCTTCTTAGAAACGCAGCCTTTTTGACAGAAAAAGGGGGGATCTGAGGATCTCTTAATACCCGATTTCCCAGGAAATGGGAGGATCATGATAATCGCTAAAAACCCCATTTCCTTAGACGTGCATCTCTTTATAAAGAGTCGAAGTAAGTGGCGCTATGTATTCGATTAAATTATTGAAAACAACCAATACGATTAAATTATTTCAAATTTATTTTATATTTCACTAAGTACATTAGCAAAATAAAAGAAAGACAAATGATGAATAATTGTATGTACCTGGTGATCGTTGCAAACATCCCTTGAATGATGGTCGAGTTGGTCGTACAAGTTGGTTGGATCAATAGGTCATTGATCCAAATAATAGCGTTGGTTGTATATATCCACGTCGTTCCCAACCTACGATAGAATAACAACAAGGTTAGTACATATAATAATTAAAAAGCTTATAAACACAACAAAAATTGATCGGAATAATGAGTACGTACCGCTTGAAATTCATCATGATAAACTCCCTCTCCTTGGAACAACTCGTCCATTTTTTCGCGAAAGTCGGACAGAAATTAGGCGGGTTTTGAGGGAAAAACCAAAGAAATGTTTTCTTATGGCAGATCGGACTTAGCCGCAACCAACAGACCACTATTTCCTAGGCTTTTGGGAGGGGAGGGGATAGAAAGATAATTTTAGAGAGAGAGTGAAGAATGGGTTGTGGTGTGAAGAAATGAGAGGGTAGGGGGGGGGGGTATTTATACTATTCAGACCCCACCCTCCAGGGGTGGTCTGGTAATTTTGTCCTCAATGAAACCGCACCCTCCCTATGCGGTAACCGTTTCTCGAGGCGCTGACCGCACCTGCCAGCTGCGGTCTTCGACCCATGGCGCGGATCACTGAGGTGGCGTGCGGTCCGCCGTTGGATCGGCGCCTTATCCAACGGTCTTGAAGGCCGCTACGGAGGAAACATTGACCGCAGCTTCCTAGTGTGGTTCCCTAGCTGACATGGCACGGACCGCACCTCCAAGGTGCAGTTTATAAATAAAACGCACCTGGAGGGTGCGGTTTCTTTAAAATGGTGTTATTTTTGTAATTTTTATGTGCTGGGTGCTATTTTTGTAATTTTTTTTAAAAGGTGCTATTATTGGAAAAATCCCGAAATTTTTTTGTCCCATTCGAACTTGTTTTGACCTACCTAACTTGTATTACCAAGAACTATGAAGATACCATAGTTTACAACCAAAAGATAAGTCAATGTCGAAAATCAAAACCACTAACACTTGCAGGAACACAAAGAAATTGCCTTTTTAGCCACCAAATTGGTTGCTCGGTTGTTTTATCTTCCTATGAATTCCACAACTGTTGGGATATGGATTAATATGCCGACACGACTATAAACGGGCCCAAACCCACCGCAAGGCGTCTTGGGCCCAAGCCCACTCAATGAAGCCCAACCCCTATATAAGGAGGCCTAAACCTCCAAACTAAAGAGCTCTCTTCCCTTCACAGATTCTTACTCTAAGGTATCTCTCTCTATTTTATTTCTCTACATACCCATTCTCTCCTATATTGTACTAACTTGGGCGTCGGAGCGTAGATCCCGCGGGTCGCCCCCCGTGGGGCAATTGTTTGGAACCCCATCGTTTGATTTCTGGAGGAGGAAAAGATCATCTAGCAGTCCGCATGTCGAAGTTCATATTCAAGGTCGCCAACCCTCCATATCCACTCTTTTGTCACACTGGTCACGAGGAGCTTGGCAGGTCGGCTTCCAAAGCAAAATTCAAGGGAAGAGCCCGAAAAAGAATACAAGACAACAAATTAGGAGCCAGCAACATCTCTTCTCGTCGGATGTTCACCATCACCGTCGGCATAGTTCACCTTAGTTTTAGTTTTCGCCGGCCAGTCTTCACCGCCAACCCAAAACCAGATACTCATCTCATCGATTCATATTTGAAGAAAAAAGGAAACGAAAGATGAGAACAAAAACCAGCACTAGCCATCATAGTTGCCGTTCTCGCCGATTCCCTGTCGCCAATCTGGCCAAACCGCCAACAAGTTGGAGAGCTAAACTTGAACCAGTCGCCGGAAGACTTCTCCCAGATTCCGGTGACGTAGCCTGCTCGTCGGGGCTGTGCTCTGCGACGGCGCGTAGGTGAAGCTAAGAAGAAGAAGGCTAGCAATGGTCAACATCATTATCTTGTGTCCAATCCTCTCAAAAAAGTGAACGGCACCACAAATCACGGGATGGGCAAAGTCACATCAGGGTCATTGTCTCTTTCTGACAAAAAAGAGTAGCCGAACCCATATATCGAGATGCACGAATATCAAGGGAGTCTGATGGATTGGGAGCGCCTCAGAATCGGGCTACTACGTCGCAAGGAGGAAGTAGCAAGGAAAGTGAGGGGGTGAACCCTGAAGGAAGAAGCCACTAAGGAAACGCAAATTGAAGCAGCCGCAAAAGGAGCAAAAATGCGACGGGAACGATAAAGAAATAAGAACGTCAAAGAGGCATCTTTATCTATAAACTATAGTTTTGTTATTTGTAACCTATTGGTTAAATGGTTATAGATAGAATTGTGTTGATATTGTTATGTGGATGGGGATGAGGATTAGCTCATGACGATGAACACATACAATAAATTATTTTTTTTTTGTTTCATGTATCAGACCTTCAAATTGGCATGTTAAAAATTTTTTTTTTGTCTATTACTCTTCTTTTGGCTGTCTAATTGACTAGGAAACACAAGACTTTTTCATGTACATCTCTTATTGGATTTCTTGATATTGAGTTTCTCACAATGAACCTATTTTTTTTGGCAATGACTTTGACTCTCATCTTCAATCTCGCTCATCTCCCCAAAGTGTTTAAGATTATAGATGGTGGTATCATCTCTTTTTATATCTAATTGTCTTTCCCAATATTTCTTTTGTGAGCATAATTAAAGACTTTTGTTTCACATCTGAATATGTTATGGATTTTAGAGAGAACAAGATGCAACATGAAGGCACAAAGTTACTTTAACATTTGGCTTCAAAGTGAGCCCCAAGTATTGAGCATTTGAGATCAATTTGCTCTTCATTGCCCACTGTTTTGTCTACCTCTACCTCTACCTTGACATTGAAATTTTAGTATTGAAGTTAACAATGAGGCATCTAAAGGCTCAACTTTTAAGTATAACTTCTGCAGTGCACAAAATATTCAATTGATATTTCTTTTATGTATCGAGCGCTTGACTCATGTTAAGAATGCTCACTGTGAATCTTGGCACTAGGTCATTTTCTAGTTTCTCTAACAGCTTCTACAATTACACTCTCATGCATGGATGCAAAATGGTCACAAATTCTATAGCATATTAGTTTGTGCAAAACAAATAAAGTTAATGTTGTATCGAGGGTGGTTTTCACGTTATCGTGGTACATCTTCAACATCCTACTTCATATTGTTGATCAATCTCTAATGAGCCCTATATATTCTTTCACAGGATATAATTTCATATCTATAACGTACCGTGATGAATAAAGATGGTAACTATTGATAAATAATATTTGATTAAACTACATGAATGGACAATCATTTTCTTTTATGATTAAGATTGATTTTGTGTGAGTAATGGAAAAAACTCTCATGTTGTCCTACATGAAATACCAAAAAAATAGACACCATTTACTTTCTAAATGCCCTAATAGTTGTTTATATTTGTTAACCATTTCTATTTTTTTATCTATACTGAAAAATTAAATATTATAAATGACAACAACATATCAAAATATATAATAATCAAACACTCCGACAAGGGCCAGGTACGGTGCTAGTTTTCTGCTTAATGGTAGATAAATAATCGAAGAATGACAAGCAACCAAACTCGTTATTGATGCTTTTGGGGCCAAGATCAGGTGACTAGGGGGAAGGGGGAGGGGGGTCCCTTAGTCACATGACTAAGTGAATCGTTGCCCGGCTCGTAAACCCTTCCGCCGTTGCAGGGAATTATTATTGCTCTCGCCGACCATTTGTATTCCGGCGTTGCTGAGAATAATCCCCGCCGGTGCTGGGAATTATTATTGCCGGCCATGTGTACTCCTTTGTTGGGATATTTCCCCCAATCCCCCCAACTGCAACTACGAGGGGGGGGGGGGGGGGGAGAGCTGGATTTGTGATGTTGGGTGACCTATTTTGTAATGTTTGTATAGATTCGGTTTGTATTGTTTATTATTCTTGTTTGTCATTTTTTGTGACATTTTGTACTGTTAGTATGCTTTGTCTGTTTGTCGGTTTATTTTGTAATGTTTGTATGCTTTGTTATTTTGCAAGGTTCACAAAAGCGCTAGGCGTAAGGCGGACACTCGGTTCCTGACTTGCGCCTTGCCCGATTAAGCGACGCCTAGGCGTTCGGAGCAAAAATGAATCCTCCCCAAACTTTGCTACTACTCTCCATTGATGGCTAGGACCAGTTTGTGAGAAATAATTAGTTTAGGATATCATTTGTAATTCACCTATGCATATATAAGAGAATTGGGCTGATATGGAAATTATTAATGGAAAAATGAAAAAATAAAACACCTAACCCAAAATTCTCCTATCAAACGGCAAACATTGCCCACCACATTTTAAAGGAAATTGCATAGAAAAACATAAAAGAAAATATATTAGTTTTATATTTCCAATCCCTGCTATCTCTCGTTCCTCTGCAAATCCTTCTCCTCTTCCTTCAATTAACCACCTTTCTTCTCCACCTGACCACCTCCATTATTTTCTTCCATACCCTCGTCGAAATCGAACATCCCCTACGCTGATTGTTACATACCCTCAACCTTGAATTTGCGACGATGGAGATCTGGATTTTATACTCCATAGCTCTCACATGCATCTTCTTATCTCAGGTATCGAAGACTTGCTGGATTTCTCTACTTCTCTTTGAGACTTGCCGGCGACAATTGATGCATCGCATGAACCCTAGAATTTGGGGAAACAGGGGAGCTCAAAATTGATGGTGTAGAAGACAGACTCGACCACCGAACTGTTGCTGCCGTCTTTGTGGGAGCTGTCATCTTTGTCCTCCTTAGTAATGTTCTAGTTTGAACGACGATGACGAATGGCGCTTGGTATTGGGTCTAATGGCGATGACAACCTTGAACGTCAGGGCAGATCGAGGCGGGATCAGATAGCCTTAGGGATGGCAACCCTGGCGCGCCCGCCGGATACTTTTCTTTCGCGTAACAGTACCCGCCCGAAACCCGACCAAAGGGGGTCTCAATAACCGGCCGTAGTGGGTAATTGCTGGATCGGGCATACCCGAAACCCGTCAGAAGCGGGTTACGGATGGGGATGGATCAAGAAGTATATGCCCCGTCCCCGCCCGTCCATAAAACGACGCCGTTTTGACACCTATGTATAAAGGCCGAAGAAAGACCCAGAAACCCTAATCCCTCATTTCCTCTTCTTTCTTTCTGTCGACTGTCGCCGTTTCCTTTCATCTTCCTCTCTATTTTCTCTCCACTCAAGCACGCGAGCATTGATTTAGCTCAAAAATCTCGTCGATTCCCCACGAAATCCTCTCCATCCACTGGTTTATCGCTAGTAGGCAATCATTAATCCTCCAATTTGGCCAATCGGAGGCTGTTTTGCCGCCGATTTGGCCGGGAAACAACATGCAAAACCCTAAAATGGCTGTTGCAATCTTCGATTCACAATTATTGGGAGAAATCGGCGTGATATCATCACAGATGACAGATAAGTTCCTTCTCCCTTTTCCTTTCATTTTCCTATCTATTTCATCTTCTTTTGCTTTCATATATTTAGTAACCCTGTCGATCGATTTCAGGATCACCCGCAACCTCAGTTATAAGTTCTTCCGTTCATCATTACCTTCACTCAACTCAGAGCACAATCGAGGTAATCAATTTTAAAACTTCTATTTTCCTTGTTTATTAACTCAGTCTTTATCATTCGATGAATGCTAACACAAAGTTGTTTTTATTTTTGCCTTGTTCGAGTTCATCAGGTTCGCATCAGGCATCAACTCCCCATCTGCAGTCTGGTAAAAAAATCCTACCTCTCCATATTACAGGTTAGGCATAGCTTGACTCTAAATCCGCCCTGTTTTCTAATTTGTATGTGTAGCGTGCATGTGTCGATTGCTTGCTTGTGTGCTCTGTCTGAGTCTTGAAGATTGAATGCTTGTATTTTTTGTTTATGTAAATGGATGGTGCAATTGCAAATGATGCTTTGAATGTGAATGATCCTCCTGTGGGTAGTTCTCTAAATCCTGATGTTAATTGTAATGTTAACGATAATGGTAATGGTACTGTTAATGGTAATAATGTTTTGGTTGATGGGATTGAAACTGGTGAAGTCATTCTTGAGGAAGATAAGAAGTTGACTTATGATGTCTGGCCTCATTATGTTAGAGTGAAGTTTAATGGTGTTGTTAAGGCTAAGTGTCGTTACTGTAAAAAACGACTTGGTGGTGATGCTAGTAATGGAACCACCCATCTGAGACACCATTATAAAACTTGTACCCAAAGAAAGATACATGATGGTAGACAGAGAGTTCTGGGTCCTGATTATAAACCAATTGGAAAACCACTGCCATCTGCTTCTCAGTTCAGTTCTGATGTGTTTAGGAAGGAATTGTGCTCAATGATTATGGTCCATGAATATCCTCTAAGTATTGTTTAGACCTGGAAATCGGGTTGGGTTGGGTAATTTCTGGTTGAGAACTTTGGTTACGGGTCGGGTCATGTTTGGTTGGCTTATTTCGGGTCAAATATTGACCCAACCCATTCGGTTTCGGGTCGGGTTACAGGTCATTTCAAGTTATGAGCGTTCTCAGAAACAATATCAAACATGCTTCATATTTACTTAAAGAACACAAATTTTCACATATGCATGACAATAGTTTACCTAACACATGTCAATTAACAAATTCCCAAATCCTCCTACGCTAATGAAATGAAATATAAATTGCAAATAGTCAAAAAAACAATCACAATACTACTACAAGAAACACATTATATTTGATTATCCTTAAACTCCAAACATGTCATTCAAATCCTTGTGATTATTTTTAAATATCTCACCAATTTATAAGTGATTTTATCATATTTTGGGAGTAATATATTAAATGGAACGGGTCTAACGGGTCGACCCGCTAACCCACCCAACCCGACCCAAAAAATCATGGGTTATCGGGTTCGGATCATTCGGATTTCGGGTTACAAAAATTTCTAGTTTTCGGGCGGTTTCAAGTCGGGTCAACGGATCGGGTTGTAATTTGCCAGGTCTAGTATTGTTGAACACTTGGGGTTCATACGTTTTTGTTGTTCTTTGCAACCACAGTTCACTGTGCCTTGTAGGGGTACAGTGAAGAATAACATAATGGGGTTATGTGGAGTTGAAAGGGCAAAGTTTAAGAAGGTTCTTGATGGTAATATTGGGAGAGTTGCAGTGACCACTGATATGTGGACTGCACCCAACCTGAAGAGGGGTTATATGGCAGTAACTTGTCATTTTATTGACAATTCTTGGAAGCTAAGAAACTTGATGTTACGTTTTGTTTATGTCCCTGCTCCTCACACTAGTGAGAGGCTGGGAAACAGGTTGTTCAAGTGTCTTATTGATTGGAATATTGATAGCAAGTTTTCATCTATTACCTTGGATAACTGTACCACCAACAATGCTATGACAACTCATCTAACAACCAAACTTGTTATTGATGATTTGTTGTTGGATGGTATGCTGGTTCACATGAGATGTTCCGCTCATGTACTTAATCTTATTGTGAAAGACGGTTTGGATGTCATCAGGGATGGCATTGATTTGGTTAGGGAGAGTGTTGTGTAGTGGAACTCTACACCTAAGAGGGTTCAGACCATCTTTGAAACTGCTAAACAGATTAAGGTGACTTGTACAAAGAAACTTGTGCTTGATTGTCCTGCAAGGTAGAATTACACCTATGATATGTTGTCTGTTGCTATTATATACAGATATGTGTTCTCTCGATTGAGACAGAGGGATAGTCAGTACAATACTGTCCCTACTAGTATGCATTGGCAGTTTGCTGCCATTATCATTGAGAAGCTTGAAATCTTCAGTGAGATTACTCGGCTATTTTCTGGTAGCAAGTATCCCACTGCCCATCTGTTTTTCCCCAAGATCTGTGATTTAAGATTGAAATTGTTGGAATGGTGTGCTGATTCCAATACTATTGTCTCTAGTATGGCTGAAAACATGTGGGAGAAATTTGCCAAGTACTGGGATGAGGTACATGTGGTTCTGGCAGTTTCAGTAGTTCTTGATCCTAGATACAAGATGCATGTAGTTGAGTATTATGCTGGCAAGTTTGGCAGCACCAATACTGCATTGGTGGCTGATAAGATAAGGGAATGTATTTGTGGTTTGGTTCTTGACTACCAAACCAAGGCTAAGAAGAAGAATTCTGGTTCTTCATGTGCTTTTGGTGGTTCTTCTAGTTCTGTAAGTGATGATCTTGATTTCGAGCTCTTTGTGAGTTAGAGGAAAAAAAGCAAAACGACTCTGATTCATAATGAGCTCGATCACTATCTTCTTGAGGATCTTATTCCCAAACGATCTAAGGACTTTGATATATTGATGTGGTGGAAACTTAATGGCCTTAAGTATCACACATAGCAAGCAATTGCATGGGATTTCCTGCCCATTCCAGTCACATCAGTGGCTTCTGAATCCGCTTTTAGCTCTGGTGGGAGGTTATTAGACCCTCACCGGAGTAGGCTTCACTACAATACAATGGAGGCAATGATGTGTACTCGTAATTGGATCATTGATTCAATGCAACAAAGTAATCTGCAACAACTGAACTTCTGGTTTATTAGAGTGTTCATTGTTCTAACTATTTTCTTTTGTTTCATTTTTTGCAGAGTCAAAGGCTGATGTTGATGCAATGGAAGGATTGTTTTCAGCTCTAGCACTTGCAGATACAAGTACAAGTGCTGAAGATCAAACATAGAGTAAGTTAGTTGGTTCTTCAATTCGTTTCCTTGTTAATTTTAGTTCAATTCTCTTAACACCTTTGTTTCCTTACTTGCTAACAAGAGGAACTTGGCAATATGAACCGCCCACTATCCCTAGATGATTGATAGTTTGAGAAAAACCAGTGCAAAGGTAAAATGCTAGTGATCAGTAGCACAATACTTACGGTTGATGAGTTTTACTCATAGTTTCAATTCTCTAACTGATAAGCCGTTAATTGCACATGTTTTTACCCCTATTCTGGAGCCGTTTGAGGTGTTGATTCTCGTGTTTTAAGCCGATTTCACGCTAGGTTGTGTTTGTTTGTGATATTTCAGGTCCTAGCAAGTGAATGAAGGTTTAGGAGCGAGTTCAGGCTTGATTGGACGAAGATCGGGCGCGAGGCAAGTCAAAAAGGAAGCCACACGGGCACACCCACAACTCACACGGCCGTGCAAGTGACCTATTTGGCCGTGTGGAAGTGTGCGAGCCTTCACACGGCTTGCCCTGAAATCCACACGGCCGTGTGAAGGAGTGGTTTGGCCGTGTGGAATTCTGCGAGGCTTCACACGGCCAGGCAGAGTGATCCACACGGCCGTGTGACCCTGGCCGTGTAGGTTGACTGAAGTCCAATTAATCGATACGCGGCGTTTTGACCTCACACGGGCAACTGGGTACGTCACACGGCCGTGTGGCCCTGCCCGTGTGAGTCGGGAATTCCTGGTTTTAACCCAATTTCGGGCTGGAAGTGAGAGGATCGGACTTTTGGAGCAAAAACAGAGCCCTAGAGAGAGAAAGTACGAAGAACACATCCTAGAAGCTATCTTGGAGGTGAGTTTCATCAAATCAAGCTTGGAGATCGTCATAGGAGTGGAAATCATCATCCCAGAGCAGATTCTTCCCATAGTTATGAGTATGACTGCTTTGTATCTTGTTTTCCTCTCTCTCTCTCTCTATGGAGTAGAACCCTTCTCTCACTTGGGTATGAAGAACCCTAGTTCTATGTGTTAGGGATTTGATTGTAATGACTTGGGATGATATTACTGCTTGGTTTTAATCGAATGATGCATGTTTATTGAGTCAATTGAAGTCTGATCAGCTTTTCCTGATTTCTGCTGCAACCTGAGATAGATAGAATTTGATTAGGTTGTTAGAGCCTCATCATTCGGTATTAGGAGATTGGTTATACGAGAGTTAGCTAGTTTACTGCTTTGTACTGGAATTCAATTCTAGTAGTGGAGTTCTGTTCTTACTGCTTCAGCTTTCTATCCCGGTGAAGACTAGTCGTCTGCCGGGTAGTTAGACTGAGAGGGCTTGGTCAGCTTAAGAGATTCCAAGCTACTGTCGGATATTCCGCAGTCTAATCAACAGTAAATCAACCCAGGGAAATTGCAATTGAAACCTAACTAAGGAGCTAGGGGGACTCATTCCCGAGTGACTCTTACCTGCTTGAGAAAACCGTACCAATTCCTGCTTTCTTTCTACTTTTGCTTTAAACAACAATCACTTAACTTAGTTTGCTAGATAATAGATAATCATTGAGTAAGTAGTAGATCTAGACCCCGGGTTGATAATAGAACTTGCCACTTTACTGCATTCCCGGTCTGCGATTACACTTGGTCGCAGATTGGTGTTGTGTTTGGGCGTGTCAAGTTTTTGCTTATCTAGCCAACTCCCCCACACTTAACCGTTTGCTTGTCCCCAAGCAAACCAAGTCAGACACAAGGTAAGCTCACATATTTCAACCATACCAACATTGGGGAAAAATCATATAGGCACAGAACACGTGAATCATACTGGTTTTCAAACATCAACACATGAACAACCTTAATAGCAACCTGGACAACCACCATAGAAGACATTCGAGTGCAGAAAAATCGAGTAAAGGAGGAGTCTCCCTTCTCTTCATTAACCAACCTAGACTTGACTCAACCACTTACTCAAGACAGTCAACTCATGCACAAAACTCAAGATATCAGAATAGAGACCGAGCAGTCTAGGTCCTCACCGGGTAAAGAGTGTAAAGAAAAAGGAAATGAATAGCTCACTCTCGACCAATGGGGTCAGGACAATTTGATGCGAAAAATGCGCATACTAATTCTCTCAATTCCTAACATCTCTTCACCATGACGGCAGCCTCTAAATGTTAGAGTTCACATAAATGGTTGTCATCACTAACTAATCAGGAGGTCTTAGACACAGGTTCAAATGACTGGCTAGGGTCTTGGACATGGGGAAAAAGCCTTTTAGGTGGTGGAAATATTCATAGCACAAGGTTCCACAATTCCAAACCCAACAAACTCACAGTCAATCAAACCAGTACTTACTTTCTGCTATTCTGCATTACTCAAATTCAAAGCACAAGAGCGAAGGAGGTCACATAAATACCAATATTTCTAAGCCAGACTGCTAAGAAACACTACTTAATGGGCACTATTCAGAGTTTTGGTGGTGGCTCTCTTTTGCTTTCATTTTTTCTTTGTTTTTCTTTCATTTTTTTCCATTTCTTAAGAGAATCACCACCTCTGCATATTTTCAAACACCTGCCCAACTTTTTAAGAACTACCTCCAACTCTCACATTACATTTAGCAAAAACAGCAGAGAACATGTAAAAATCACTCTGTGGAACCTTCTAAAAGATGCAAAAGGGTGACTTTTCATTGAAGACCGAAAGAAAGACTACACACGGCTCAAAGGGGCTGACTAGGGGGTATGACACACCAGGACAGTCAATTTGGTCGTGGGCTAATCCTATGCCTCCATCATCTTAGCTAATGACAACGTGAATGCTACACATCATGGAAGAGGGAACTATCGCACAAGAAAGAAACGAGCAGGCTCAAATCTCACATGGCTACCAATATGCTCAACTCTACTGCACGTCTCACTCATCATTATAGGTTCTCCTAATCACCATCCAGTTGTCATGCATTAATCCGAAAAACATTCAATTCACCAATCAAAACACAGTGCCAATATGATCAAACAGCCGTACTTGGAGCCCTCAAATCTCGAGATTTGGACAGTGGACTAGGCTCTAAGCACGCGTATATACATTCCAACCGATACAAAGCACCCCCCCCCCCCCACACTTAAGCACGACATTGCCCTCAATGGAGCAGAGGGATAGAGAAGGGGAACGATGTTACCGGATTGAAATGCTGCGGGGAGACTGAAAGTGGACCAGTCAGCGTGGGACATACGGAACGAATGGATAGTTCTGCACTAAGGGAACATCAAGAACACACTAGCAAATGTTCGTTAGGGATGAGAGTTGGCCCAGATGGCCACAAAAGAAACAATCCCCAAAAGAAAAGAAACAAAACACACGACAAACTCAGTTCAAGCTCCTCAAACACATGGAGCAAACAGAAAAAGTCTAAAACAAAAACACACACTGAGGGGCGACAAGTACAGCCTACTCGTTGCCAAGGTTGTCCAGATCGGTGTCATTCATGAATGCATCATCGTCATCAGATGGTGGAGGTGGTAGTGGAGAGTCCTCCCAGGGAGTCCTCCAGACTGGCTGCTCGCCCGGTAGCAGCTGGAGCAGATGCCCCCTGTACCTCCTGCATGCGGCGAGCTCGGGCCTGCTCCCTCTCGATCTGCACCAGGGTGACCCCCTGCTGGGTCTCCATCCTATCGAGGCGCTCATCATACGCTGCATCCTGGTCTGGTACTCGGCATGGTGAGCCGAATAATCCTGCTGAAACTGCATCTGACAGTCGTAGAGCTGCTGATTCTGGAGACGCAGCTGCTCGAACTGCTGAGAGAAGTAGTCCTGGCCGGGGAAGCTGGAACTGCCACCCCCGAACTCGAAGGTGGTGGGGCGGGCGGCAGTAGTATCATCCACGTCCTCGGGCTGGACCTCCTCATCAGCCGCACCCTCTGCACCCTCCGGCTGGGTCTCCTCTGGGATCTGAGGTTGAGGAAACCCCTCGATCCACATAACACCACGCTGTTCTTGAAGCATGTGCATCTTACTGATCGTAAACCGGCCAAAGGCAGTGGTCTCGCCCTGCTCTGTGCACCCCTACAGGGATATCTGGAAGTAGTCTGCCAGGCGGGTGATGAGGGGAGTGCAGTGAAGTTTCTTTAGCTCAGAAGCACTCTTCTCGAAGGTCCTCGTCACCACCAAGCCCAAGTGGAGGGGATGATCCCTCTGGCGCATGGACTGGATGAAGTACATGGCTCTCTTGGTGATGGCGATGGCACTGTCTGAGGCTGGGGTGTAAGACTTGGCCAGCATGTGATGGAGGAGGCGGTTGTCGAGCTGCAACGTGCTGGCCTTCGTCTTCCCCGCCTTGAAGGGAAGCTGACGTGGCCGAGCGAGTCTGAAGTACAGCCTCCCGAAGTCCACCCCCGCTGGCTCGGCGCTCTCGGTGATGTAGTCCCTGTCATTGACCAGGTTGAGGCCGAGGGCGTTTTCCAGCTCGTCGTAGCTCATGGATCGTGGTTCACCGCCGAGCCGGAACTGGACGGTTTCTTCGTCATTCCAATCGTCCGTGGCTGCGTGCTTGAAGGTAGTGTAGAACTCAAGCACGAGCTCATGGTAAACCTTCTCGCGAATGCTGAGTAGTTGGCGCCAGTAGCGGTTGGTGACAACGGGGGAGAGGTGCTCGTAGCAGTTCAGCTTCTCCAACTCTCGCTTGGACCAGTAATGATGTTGCCCAAACTTGCAGGCCAGGACGTTCTTAAAACGATCCTGGTGGGGTCCCCTTCTCAAATCTTGAACATACTGATGCCGGAGGTTGGGCTTCGACATGGTCCTGCAAAAGAACAGCCCAAAGTGGAACCAAAAGAGCCAAGGAAAATGTTAATCACACCCCACACTTAAGAACAGAAAACAGCCTAACCATGGTTTCATCCATAGTTCGGGGGTCAAAAACTCGATAAATCAAGCATAATCTGAGTGGGGGTGCACATCCATGAACAAGTAGGCAACTCAAGGTTCACATCCATACCAAACACACCCTCAAAGCACATCATTAAGGGCTCCAACCGACTCCCACAAAATGGTACGAAAACAGGCATTTCATCGAACACCTTGTGTGCACTATTAAGGTTAACATGGAATTGAAAAAATTCTTGCACACAAGGGCTCAAACAAGCAAGGGGGACAATGCCCAACACAATTCAAACATAATCCAAGCATTCCCCTCAATCAATTGCATTCTCACGATTCAAGGGGGTTCTCTAAACATGCACCCTAACACCCAATTCTCCATAAAAAACATAGTTATGGCCAAAATCAAACCTGGAGACTCAAGTAGAGGTGTAGGGGATGATGAGGGGAATGCAATGGAAGTGACGGAAGGCCGAAAAACTGCCCGGAAGTGCTCGTCGGAGCCTCGCCGGAGTCTCGCCGGAAATCGCCTCCGGCGACTCAAAATCAAGCCAAATCACCTCAAAATCGAGGGATAGGCCGATAATGGGCAGGAAAGGATGGGTGTGGTGTTGGATTTGTGAAAAACCGACCAAAAATGGCCGAAAATCGACAAGGAGGGTGAAAAGTCGCAGTTTTCCGGCGAGGGGGAGAGGTTTCCGGCGAGTGAAATTGAATTTTCTGACAACTCGGCCGTGTCGGCCGAATTTATAGGCCGTGGCTCGGCCACACGGCCAGGCTCACACGGCCGTGTGAGCTGCACTTTTGCCCGTGTCGGCTGACACGGCTGGCAGAGGATTTTTCACTCGGCCGTGCCGAGTGCACATTTGGCCGTGTCACATTATGCGAGAGCAAACACGGCCTGGGGGAATTTCCACACGGCCGTGTCACTATCCGGGCTGGCCGTGTGGAATTCTGCGAGAGCTCACAGGGCCAAACCCATTTCCCACACGGCCGTGTCACTATCAGGGCTGGCCG